GGGGTCTGGGCCTTGTGTGGGTGATGTGGGCTTGGGGCAGCTGAGGGTGGCCTTCTGGTTCTTCCTTGGTTCTGGGGAGACAGTGCCTGGAGAAGCAGTCCTGGGAGGGCTGCTTGGCTTGGTCTTTAGGTTCTGTATCAAAGGAAACAAGATCCACCCTTCATTCATTTGTTCATTTACCTAACAGAGTTGGGCACTGAGCAGCTGCCTGGTACAACTTAGGACTGAGGCCACATCTGTGAGGAAAACCCAATCTCTCACTGAGTCTGCCTTCCATCCCAAACACCAAGAACAAGGGGTACAGGAAGGCTAGGGGTGTGACCATCAGAGCTGGCTGGGGTAGGAGAGTCTTGATGGGTATGGCCACTATGGGCCTTGCATTTCCTAGGCAGATGCTCTTCCAGTTTGGCCACGCCCAGTCCCTTTTGCTTTCATTGCTGTTCCAGTAAAGTCTGGTCTTTATGCTCAAGGAAGGCCTGAAGCATCATTGTCCCAATCTCATCCTTCCAAGGAGCCAGGATGATAGTGGTGAGCCCTTGTGTCTAGATTGGTTTTATGATTTTCATGCTGGGATATATGTTTACATGGGCAGTCAGCGGCATAACCCGTTTACATTCTCACTCCTTCCAGCCTCTTTCCCTGAACCTACAACTGAGAACAGTAGAAAATCAAAGCAGTCATTGCAGCCTCCTAGAATCCTACTCCTTAATGAAGAGGCACACATTAGAAAGGACAAAATAATGGCATTTACAGGGAAATGGATAGAACTACAAGAAATCACATTGTGTGAGGTAAGCCAAGAGCAAAGAGACAAATGGCACATAGTCTCCCTGTTAAGTGGATGTTAAACCAAAATATGAGGTAATAGATCAAAGTTAACAAGACTTGAGAAACAAAGGACCTCCACTCATCTGGTCCAATCACTACTAAATAACCCCATGCTGATGATCACACATAGCATATATGCGCACACTGGAGGGAAACTAGGAAATGGACACAGAACTAGAGGGAATAAGGAAAAAAACATACAACAGTGGGACCCATCAGCTTCACTGGACATTGATCAAAATGAACTAAGCAACTCAATGGCTGCGATGGGAGGGAGGGAACGAGTGGGAAAGAAGGAACAGCTGACACTATGCAAAAGGAAAGGAATGTACACAGCATCTGATGTGGAAGAAACAACTCTATTGTCAAAGCTCATAGAATTCATAAACTTTATAGACCACGATAGTCAATTTGCCCCATGAAAGTTAGAGTGTGTTTGTGACTTTAACTAAGCATCACTATCCCACAATTGTTAGAAATTTGTGAAATTATGTATTCAATTAATCACAAAAAAGAATTTGCAAAAAAAAAATCAAGAGGCACACGCTCCAGAAGCATGCCAGACAAACAAACATCCCTATGTCTCCCAAGAGAAGTAGGAGATGGGGCTTGATTTAGACGCCAGAGTGAATCAGCAGCCTGGTGGGCCACACACTCACCGGGGCTTGGACCTTAGGATTGACCATGCTGTTATCAAGAACAGTGCTGCACCCGGAAACTTGCTTGCTGGATGTCTCTGTCAGAGGTTGATTTCCTTAACTTCTTCATGCTGTGGGAATATCATGGCCTGGATGCACTGCTGCCCTTGCCATTTCCCAGGCTTCAGACCCCATGACCTCTGACTCCTACCCCTGACCCCTCCCAACTCACATGACCACAACAATGAGGCAGAGGTAAAGGACAGCCTTGGCACTGATGCTCAGTCCTGCAGCCATGAAAAGCGCTGTGGAGAAGCAGCTCTCATCTGCACAGGACAAGCATGTGAGGTTAGCCGGTGGGCATTGGGGGAGCCGGGGGTAGAGGGGCCCGGGAAAGGCTTTGTGAGCCTCATTCTGATCCAGGCCTTCCATTTCTCCCTTCTTCTTCTTCCCCATCCAGCCACAGACCAGGATTCTGGTGATCAGGGTTTCTGGCTGTCTGTTCCCTCAAGAGGGCAGTGGTCAGCAGGTGTCCCCTGTCCCTGGGCCCTGGTGTCCCCTCCTCCACTCACAGTGCACAGAGAGGCTCAGGGAGATGTGTAGGTCACCCAGTGGGTTCTGCACCTGGCAGGTGAATTCTCCTTCATGTTCTGCCTCAACCACGGGCAGCTCCAGCACCCCAGGCTCTGCGGGCCAGGGGGCGCTCAGTATCTGGGAGCCCCGGGCCCAGCTCAGGGTGGCCGGTGGGTGGCTGCGGGTGACACAGACCAGGCGCAGGCTTTGTCCCTGCAGGACATGGAGGGACGAGCCATTCCTGTGGATTTCCAGCTCTAGGGGAAGGAGAGAGAGAGAGATGTGGGCGCCATCCCCACCAGTAAAGGACGGGAGAGGCCCGGCGACCTGTGTCCCCTGTCACCTGTGCTGTTTCCCTGAGAAGCGGTCACTGTTAGCGCCTCCGGAGGGTCTGCAATGGAGACACAATGGTCAGGGCTCCCTCTGCCTGCGCCTCACACACAAACCGAGGCCCTGGGCTTGCTGGGCCCTGGAAGCTGTGGGGCCCTGCCCCCTGCCCTCCCCTCCCCTAACCCCCATCCTGTCCTTCCCCTGATCTCTTTCTACCCCCTCTCCTGCCCCTCTCGGGTCCACTCACACTGCACAGAGAGGTCCAGAGAGCGGTGCAGGGAGCCTAGTCTGTTCTCCCCGTGGCAAGTGTAGCGCCCTGCATCCCTGATCTTCACCCCAGGCAGGTCCAGCATCAGGGCTCCAGGGTGCGTGGCATTTGACCTCAAGAGGACTCGGTTCCCCAGGACCCAGGTCAGCGTGGGGGGAGGCCGGCCAGCCGCAGTGCAGAGCAGCCGCAGAAACTGGCCTTTGAGGACATCCATGCAGGTCATGTTTCCTTTGGACTCTAGGGAGAGACAGGAGAGGGTGAGACAGAGACAGAGACAGCAGAAGGAGAGACACACACACAGACAGATGTACAGAGTTAGGCAGTGAGCGAGAGGAAGAGATATACCCACAGACCCCAAAAGAGACAGAGAGTGAGGGCTTGTAGAACGAGTTGGTCCCCTCCACCTACCCTGGGCTTTCCACTTCTCCAGGGCCGGGCCAGCCCTGCCTCTGGACCTCCCACCTTGGGCATTGTCACGTAAAATGGTGATCACCAGGTCTCTGGGGGCGCCTGCAAGAAGGGTATGGGCTCTCTTCAGGAAGAATGTGCTGTATCCACAAACACAGCCCCCTTCTCACAGGGCCTTGTGGTTCCTGCCTTTCCTGGGACCCCCAGATAGGCTCTCCATACACACATCAGGATGCTTTATCTGGCCAGAACTAAAGCCAGGACTCACAGGCCACACTCAGCCGGACAGAGTTCTCCACGGTGTTGCCAGCTCTGAAGTTCACTCGGCAGGTGAGCTGAGTGCCATGGTCCCTCAGGCGTGGTGTGAGGCTGATTGCTGACAGGAAGGAGGTCTGGGGTCTGCTCTCAGTGCTGGAGAGGGCAGGCCCTGACCAGGAGATGGAAGGGGCCACACATTGCTGAGAGATACAGGGAACCATACAGATGATGGTCACTGCCTGCCCAGGCTCCAGGGTCTCAGGAATGAAGATGTGTGGCTGAGTTCGGGCTGGGGGAGAGAAAGAGACCAGACGTTCATGATCAGGCCATGCACGGGAGACCTTGCCTCCATCCCCAGCCTGGGTGCCTGGGCCCCACACACCCTACCTGCCACTTCCAGCCGGAACTTGTCCCCGTGGAAATTATATTTCAGCTTCTCTCCCTTCTCTACCCGGAAGAAATAAGTTCTCTGGTCCTCTTTCCGGGCATCTCTGATGGACAGGGTGCAGTTATTCCTGTGGGGGTCCCCCAGCAGCTGGAATCGACCCTGAGTCCAGGCTTGCGTGGGTCGAGCTGGGTTGGTGGAAGCCACGGGTTCCCCAGTGACTGTGTTGGTTCCTTCTGTGAACCAGTAGCCATGAGTTGGAGAGGAATCTGGACCTGCCCCCTTGCTGGGGTAGGAGAAGGAGCAGGGCACCAGGACACTCAGCCCTTCCTGCACCTTCACCTGGCTCTGCACCTGCACCTTGTATCCCGGTTTCTGAGCTTGGGACCCTGCAAGGAGATAGATGGGCTCAGTCCTCATCCCAGCCCTGTTCCAGCCCAGCTTCCCACAGCTGTTGGCCACATACCGCCCAAGGACAGCAGCAGCAAGAAGAGGCACAGCTGTGTGTTCAGATGATGCATCCTGAGCTGCTCTGAGTCAACAAGAGCAGGGACAGGAGGGAAGTGCAGGAGGTTGAGTTGTGGCGACACACGTGACACACCCTGCTTCTAAGGAGGCCAGGGCTAGCAGGGGCCTCTCCCATGGCCAGGGCCCATCTCCTGGGGGCTGAGGGGCTGAGGCATCTGCTGGGCCTTTGAATGTGGGGATCTGGGCCTCCCCAGACTCCTCTGGGGCAAGGAGGGGAGGCGCCAGGCCTGTGTCCAGCTTTGGGGCTGGGGTTGGGGAAGGAAGGGGTTCTCCCCTGGGCCCTGGGCAGGGGACTCTGGGGTGCAGAGGGAACTCCTCTGTGTGTGTGCTTAAATGGACTTTCAAACTTAAAAAACTGCTCAATCTTCCTATTTTTTCTTGGTATAAGAAAAACTGGAACAGGAAGGGCTGGGAAGGTGACTCAGTGGCAGAGTGCTTGCCTAGCATGCATGAAGCCCTGAGTTTGATTCCTCAGCACAACAAACACTGAAAAAGCAAGGAGTGGCACTGTGGCTCAAGTGGTAGAGTTCTACCTTTAAGCAAAAGAAGCTCAGGGACAGTGTCCAGGCTCTGAATTCAAACCCCAGGACTGGCAAAACAAAACAAAACAAAAAAGCAAAAAACCCTCCAACATTGATTGGAGAACTTAGGCTGAGAAAAGTTTTTTTTGTTATCGAAAATTCAAACTGGACAGACCTTCCTCTTTTTTCTTTTCTTCCTCCTTTTACTGCTTCTTCTTCTCCTTCTCCTTCTTCTTCTTCTTCTTCTTCCTCTTCTTTTTTATTCTTCTTCATTTTGTGCTCCTCCTACAATTTGGACTCAGGGCCTGGACACCACCCGTAAGCTTTTCCATGGAAAGCGAATATTCCTCCACTTGAACCACAGCCCAGCTTCTGGCTAATTGGAGATTAGCATCTTATGAACTTTGCTGCCAGGGCTGGCTTTGAACTGCGATCCTCAGATCTCAGCCTCCAGATAGTTGGGATTAGAAGGTGTGAGCCACAGGTGCCCAGCTCTTTTATTATTATTTTTTTCTCCTGTAAATCAACAACCCTAGGCCTTTCTCTGGCCCTGTCTTTACACTCTCCCCTTATTCCTGCCTCCATAAGCCTTAGTTCCCGAGACACTTCCCATCTTCGTCCTGATTGCTCCTTCCTCTTTGGGCAGGCTGTAGTATCATAGTACCATTCATTGCCCCACCGCCCACACAGATGGCTTAGAGAGATCATGAGGACAACGGGCAGGGTGTGCAGAGGCTGGAATGAAGGCTCCACCCTAGTCCCTGTCTCTCCTGAGGCATTCTGGAAGGACTGTTAGTCCTGGGCACCCCACCTCCCGGGAAACCCAGAGGCATACCCCGCAAGGCCAGCTGCTTTGAATAATGAAGAGTCTCAGAACTGGCAGGAACTTACCACACACTGGGAAAGGCACTGGGACCTGTACACCCACATAAGAATTGAGTAGCTACAGACCTTATACAGATCCTTTTTTCTGTCCTTGTCATTATTCCCTAAACAATAAACCACAGCAACGAGTTACACATAGTTTGTGTCAGGTATCAGTCATGAGAACCCAGAAAGCAGAGTCACAAGTTCAAAGCCAGTCTGCCCCCTGGTTGCAGGGTGTGGGGTATAACTTGAATTCCACCATTTGCAGAAAGCCACTGCAGGGCACAGCCAGGTGCTTCAGCCATGGGGACAGCAGAGGGCGCTTGGAGCTCAGGTTTCTGCTATAGGCTTGGCCCCATGTAAAAGGGGAGATTGCTGGGTGGAATGTGGGGTCCTCCCTGACCCTGCAGCTTGGGGAGAAGGCTCTGTAGGTAACTGCTGGCAATGTCACATCCACGTCTCAGATTGCACTTGTATGTGTCATGAGGTGGGGGTGTCCTAGGGTGCCATCCTGGTTTGAGAGTTCACGATTCTAATACATCGCCCTTTGTGCCAGTAAGTCATGCAATAAACATGCGTTTATTTGTCTTTGTGTAAGTTATATGGAAAGAGTCTGACTCCCTTTGTGTTCATGCAGATACCCTTTCTGTGTGTTTGTGCAGGCCCTGGGGCTTGAACTCAGGATATAGGCACTGGCCCTAAGCTTTTTCTCTCAAGGTTGTAGCTCTACTACTTGAACCACAGCTCTGCATCCAAATTTTGGTGGTTAATTGGAGAGAAGAGCCTCATGGACTTTCTGCCCAGGCTGGCTTCAAACCATGGTCCTCAGATCTCAGCGTCCTGAGTAGCTGAAATTACAGGAGTGAGCTACTGGGCTCCCAGCTAACTGCTTCTTTTGGAGGAAACAGGAAGGGACTTCCACAGGGTTGGACTGTTTTACATGAAGGGAGCAGGGTCCAGTGCCTGGATAGCCATGCAAACACTTATTAGTTGCTTTTTGTTCCATGACAACTGTCCAACCAAGTGGCCTGCAGTAGTGCAGTTTTGGTTGAGTCTTGCATTTCCTCAATGTTGAATGTCTTCTGTGCTCCAGGCTCTTGTGGGTGTTTGAGGGATGATCACTGATGTGGCTGTGGTGCTGTGACCCATATCCATGGTCCATGACGCTGGCCTTAAATCGGGTGACCGTCGAGAGGTGCCCAGGCAGCAGGCTCAAGCATGCCCCCAGCAGGGTGCAGGCTGGGCTGGGGGTGGGCAGGACGAGGACAAGTTTGGGGGCAGAGGTAGGAGGCTCTGGGAGGAAAGTCCTGGAGGAAGAGGCCACAAGAGGCTTCTTGTGAGCAAAGTGGCACTCATTCCATCTCTGTCTGCAGAAGAACTTCAGGTGGTTCAGCTGTGGTGTTGGCATGTGCTAACTGTGTTTAGAAGCGGAAGCCAGTGTGGGCCAGGGGTGGGGTGGAGGAGGGAGGCATGGATGAAGGTCTGTGACAAGGGAAGACACCAAAGGCAGGATGGAGGTAGAATTGGGAAAGGGGAAAAGACAGAATGAAAAGAGCCAGGTGCTGGCAGCCTGTAATCCTAGCTACCCAAGAGGCTGACATCTGAGGATCGTGGTTCGAAGTTACCTGGGGCAGGAAAGTTCCTGAAACTTCTTCATCCTTGGTGTGGGATAGCAACATGTCTTACACCTTACACGTGCCCTCACTTGGGCAGATACAACTCTCTGATGTGATGCATCTGCTACACAGCTTTTATGAAGGACACTTATAGTCCCTGACACAGAGCTCCAATAACTCAATTAAAATGTGGGTCCTACACCCAATGGGATCTTACGGCATCTTCAACATGGAGTGGAGCACTGGCAAATCCTGAAAGCAGCAGCTTAGAAAGCCATATCCTGGCCACATGTCGCTCACAGAACACCAGAGCAGAAGACCTGCAAGGTACTGGTGGTGATCCAGAGAGCTCAAATAGAGATAAACCCCAGTGCTCAGAACCTGCACGGAGACCCCTCTGCCACCACTCGGCTGGAGGCCGATACGTAGCTTATGCCCGAGGAGTGGCCCATTCCCCAGCGCCAACATGAATAGCATCAACAGAGGCAGAGACAGAGGAGAAACACGCAGAGCCACCACTGCCCAGCCCAACCCACAAGCATCTCAACTGAACTCTGATTGCAGCGGCAACCAGTGACCTACATCACACAGAAACAACAACTAGCTCCAGGGTGAGTACCTCACAGGGGACAGTGTATCCCTCAAGGGAGACCAGAGCTGGTGGGAACCCCTAGAACTTGACCCAGACTCCTACCCCAACACCTGGACTACAGGACCAACTAGAACTGGGAATTGTTCGAGAGCTCCACCGGCCTGTGGAGCACATCCAGCTGGCCAGGCTAGAACAAAAGCACCCTTGGCAGGGAGCTTAAATACCCAAGCCAGGAACAGTGTCCTTGGGTCACAGCAACGAACAGTGAAAGAAACTTGAACTGTGTACTACAGGCTGCATAACAAAAGCAGGATACACAGCAGCACAGGTCCAACTGGTATGCCCAGGCCAGGGAGCAGGAGCCAGGACCAGACTTGGGGATCGAGGGCCTGAGCAACACAACCAACTCCTCCCAATTGAAGTCAGAAGGTGAGTATATGCCTCAGCAGAGGGGGAGAAAACAGGGAAATTCACCCCCTGGGAATCACACTCATGACAGCAAAAGACATGGGTGTCCAGGTCAAGAGAACCAGACACCCAAACCCCACCAGAACCTGACACATATATCCCAGGCCAGGAATTAGGCACAGGCCTCTAGCACCTGATAATAGTCAGGAGCTCAGGCTGGTTAGGTGACTCAGCGGTAGCTTGCTTGCCCTGTGAGCATGAGGCCCTGGATCTGATTTCTCAGCACCACATAAACAGAAAGGTCCAAAAGTGGTACTGTGGCTCAAATGGTAAGGAGTTAGCCTTGAGCTGAAGAACTGAGGGACAGCACCCAGGCCCAGAGTTCAGACCCCACAAATGGCCAAAAAACAAAACAAAACAAAGGAAACAACCACTCCCAAACACAAAAACAAAAAACATAACCAAACAAACAAACAAACATCAGGAGCCCATAACAGACTCCAGCAAATGGGAGAGTATATCCAGCATACCTGATCTCGCCAAGAGCACCTATAGGATTAAACAGGAACAGTATAGGCCACTCAGCCCTTCTAAAGACAGGAACTGCCAGTGATCTACAGCAAAGAGCAGAGAGCCCTATGAGGGCTCAGACCAGCACCTTGGAGGTTGGCCCCCAACAGAACCGAGACCAGGTACAGACTCTCTCTGCCAACCCAGAAACAGCAACCAAGCAAAAACAGACACCTATTGACCAAAACAAAATTTCAAATTAGTCTCCAATAATCTCTGAATGCCCAGGTGAAAATCACAGAGAAAAATTACAAGGTTTATCAACACCCAGTATAGCAAGCTACCCC